GTGTTTGGAGGGGGGTGTGTGTGTGGCTATGATGGGCGTGCAGCAGGGGTGGGTTTCAATCGGTTCGCGGCGGTCCCTGCGAACCAGTTGGTCGCCGAACCCGGAAGTAAGTAACTTCCAGGAACGGCGAAGGGCTCCTTACCCGGTTTTGACGAATTCTGCGCTTCCACGCATGCGCAGGACGCATACAGCGCCTGCGTGATCCTCCAGGAGCAGCTGGAGCATCGCACAGACGCTAGTACGCACGCGTGCGTGAGGACACTGTGTGCGAGGATGCCGCCGGCCTCGTTCCAGCTGAACCGGTTGGAACGGGGCGAGAAACCCACCCCTGCCTACCGCCCACTTTTGTATCTCTGTTAGCAGTAACATTTTCTAACCGCACACTGGTTCCACAGTAGTGGTGATTTATAAAGTAGGGAAGTAACTTTACTTTATAAAATTTATAAAGCAGAGTTACAGCAAACCCCTACCGCCGACCATGAAAGCTGGAACGCCCACTAGTGGGCGGTAGGAACCAGGTTGACTACCACTGCTTTATAGTATGGTATAGATAACCTGATAAGAAAAAGCATGAATGCTTTGAAGGATATACATATTGGCTCTCAAACAATATATACACATATATTCAAGTTTATTACACACACACATGCAGGATATCCCTTGCGATAAAGTTACGATAACATTTAGCTTTCATTGTTGAGATAGACAGATAGGAATCACTTGAATTTTTCACGTCACGGAACAATATAATCAAAATGGAAACTTACTGTATCACCTTTTATTGAGCAGGTCTTGTTTTCTTACACGATTCTGAAAACAGCTTTTTTAATAGCACTTAGACTTATATACCGCTTCACAGTGCTTTACAGCCCTCTCTAAGCGGTTTAAAGAGTCAGCATATCCCCCCCTCTCCCTCCAAATCTGGTCCTCATTTTACCCACCTCGGAACTATAGAAGGCTGAGTCAACCTTCAGCCTGGTGAGGTTTGAATTGCCAAATTGAAGTCAGCCGGCAGTCTGCAGAAGTAGTCTGCAGTACTGTACTCTAACCTCTGCGCCACTATGTTATTGTGATTATGAGACAGCCTAAGATCCAAAGAATTAGTTTATGCATAACCAAGGACTTATGCACGCTAAGTGGGATTTGTACAATTTTTTTTAATGCATAAAAAGTATCCATGCCCTCTCAGAGAAATTTGCTTTATAAACATCTAGTTTAAAAAAGAAGTTTGTGCAGTGGATAAGCAAATTTGCTTTGGAAGGAAACTCCCCAAAGCCGTCTTGGATAATCAAATAAGATGCATGATTCTTTGGATCCAGGATTTACATTCTAAAGCTGCCCCGTTAGAGGAAAACAATAGGCATTTAATTCAATGGGAGTGAAGTTAGAAAAAGACTAGACTAAGCAGAAAACGTTTCTGTCCTCTGTATGCTTAGGTTAGATGTAAGTCGCCTTTGATTCAGTGATTGGACTTCTATTTAGTTTGAACTTGGCACAGGTAGAATTTGATCATTGTGGAAGTGGGTGCTTTCATATTTAGGAATCTGAAATGCATTTCTTATGAACTTCTATGGAAAGGTTGCGCCGTTCCCTTTATAACCAGACAATCTCGTAGGAGATAATAGTGACATTCATGATGAACAGCTATGTGCCATGTTTGAGCTTTTTTTTTTTTTGCAAATCAGGTTACAGATTTTTTAAAATGTTGAAGACTTTTCCCCCACAGTTGGCCTTTTCAGTTTATCTGGAATCCGGTCATTGGATCACATCAAGATAGGCTGCTGCTGTTCTTCAGCAGTTACAGCCTAAGGCCTCTGCTGCTTCCGGTCAAATTTCCTTCAAGGTTGGTGGTGCTATTTTTTCCCCCCATGTACTCATTTTTTTTTTAAAAAAAGAAAAAGCATGCTCAGGTCATTTGTCTCTTTGCCTTTGCATTAAATTTGTCCTGAGCCATTGGTTTGGAAAGCATATTTTATAATGGTATTCTTTAAAATGTTAATGTTATTATTAACACGTGTTGCATGAGTTCGATACTACCTAATTGATTTTTTTTCCTGTGTGGCATTAGTATGAGTGCCTTAAATTGAATGAAGAATCGGTTGTGCATGCGGATTAATATTCTAATCTCACTGCCTGTGTATGGACAATAGGAGAAAAATAACATTTGTTCTTGTACTACTATCACTTGTGGTAGCAAGCCAAGCCATATAATCCTATCTCATTATATGCCAAGCCATATAATCCTATCTCATTGGAAATGGCAATTCATTAAGGAGCAGACAGTATTTTAAAAATCTTGAAATGTCCAACTCACAAGTGCATTAAACTAGAAATCACTTGCAAAGCACCATGCCTTTACAATCAACGGAGATGTATTAATACGATTGTTACTATAGCAGTATTTAACATTCATTTATTGATTTCTAAATAGTCCACTGTTAAATAGTTTTTTTTTTAAAAAAACATTTTTAATTTTGCAAAGGTGGACGTCTTTCAAGAAAATCCTGATATATCTATGCTATATTCAATATATCAATATTGATTGGTGTTTACCAATCAATCCGGAGTGTCAAGAAAAGTATGACTGACTCTCATATGCCTTTATTAAACCTTATGTACAGTAGTTAAAACTTAGCTTTTTGTAGTACGCATACCATGCACTGACAGTGAATCAGTAGAGGACTGCATGATTTTGCATGACTGATTTAACATGAGAATATCATTATAAAATATTATTATGTAATGTCTTTGGCAATGATTCTTGTACATGGAGGCTTTTGCCCACTGTGGAAGCTACAGTAAATTAAAATAATAAAATTGACTTTCATATATCTATCTATAGATAGATGGATACCCTATATCATATACCTATATATCTATCTATAGATAGATAGAAACACAAATGCATGATGCTGCTAGATAGCTTTTGTAAGCTATTTCTTTCTATACTACATTCAGTTCATTTTCTTGCTGGTTCCCACAGATTGATACATAATCATTTGTTTGGATCATTGATGCCTTTTTCCTTGTTTACCTCTCTACATCCTGTAAATAAATGTCTGTACATATATCTTGATGTTGTCTTTCCATAATTAACAATTGTTGTGTGAAATACCATACTGGCGTTTTGTTTTAAAATGCCATTTCTTAGTATGGGAACACCTGCTACACACAGAGCATAAAAAAACTGCTAAGGATGGTTTACACCTCAGGATTAGTATAGCAGAGTGGTGTAAACAGTCAGAAAACTTAGTTTTGTGTACCAATACGTTCAACTGTGACAGAAAATATCGAACACTTTCTTAGTAACATCTTATTTCCCATTTCATGTATCAGCAGCATATACAAGATAAGCTACTTAGGTGGCTTTTTGGAAATAAGGGATTATATTTGGGTATGATACCCAAATTGAGCAAAGAGCCCGCTTCAATCTTACCACATTTCCCTCAATACACATACCTCTGCATACTAACTATAAAGATTCAGTGAAGTGCAAATATGCAGAGATGGATTTCAAAGAGTTATATATTCTTTGATGATCTGCTGAAAGGGATTTTATGTTCTTGTCAAATGATCTCATGGTGTTATGAGCAGGTTGTGATTTGGCATGCTTTTATGAGTTGCATCCAGCATGTTAAGAACGTTCCTTTAATTGTTTTGTGAAAACGTTTGCATATGTGATTATTATCTGTGAACTCATTGTATATGTATTGAAATGTGTTTTCCATTGTGCTTGATTCTGCTGGCCATTCTTGAATGACTTGGCAATTCAAGAAACAAATGTTCTGTTGCTGTCCTGTGTAATGCATATTTTCTTTGATGCGTTTTGTCATGTTCATTGGCTTGCAAACCTCCCTTTTGCCAACAGCATACCTTTATATGTGTTGGAAACAAATTTATGCAAAGACATATCTCAGCAAGCTTTGCTTAACATATTTTAAAATTATCATGACATTAATTTCTTCAACATTTAAACACACTTTGCTTGATATAAATCTTTTGCAGTTAATCCACCTTCAGACTTGAAATTTAAAATTATAGATGAAAATACTGTGCAAATGTCATGGGCAAGTCCATCTGATGCCATAGAAGGTTACAGGATAACTCTGAGGTCTGCGGCTGGTAAGCTTTAATATTATTTTTTTAGAAAAAAAAACCCTTAAACTCTGAATTAATGTCCCTTTGTGAAAATGTCTCTTTCTTCCTGCTTTATTTTGAGCATAGAGAATGTCTAAATACAGCAGTGTTTCTCAACCGTGTCAACTTGAAGATGTCTGGACTTCAACTCCCAGAATTCCCCAGCCAGCATTAGCTGGCTGGGGAATTCTGGGAGTTGAAGTCCAGACATCTTCAAGTTGACAAGGTTGAGAAACACTGAAATACAGCATGAAAAATTTAAAAGGAACATCTTTAATTTGTCAAAAATTGTACTGAAAATTACATTACAATTTTATTCATGTCTAGGCAGCAGAAAGATGCCCTGAATTTAGTGATTTTTATGCTTTAGTAGGCATGAATGGAATTGTAGTCTTAATTGGTTAGGAAAAAGCCAATAGATTCAGCAAGCCGAAATGTCAGAAACGAGAAAAAACTTGCAATGTCACATTTATACATGATGTTTTCATGCAAGTATGAAATGAACGGTATGTCTACCGCTTGGTTTATCATGTGTATCTTCAATAAGTATCTGCAAATATGTATTACATTTTTATATTGCCTTATCTTTGATTGCTAAGGCAGATTCAATGGGGACCTTCCTACATTTCATCCAAATGAGCAAATCCATTGGTTTTTTTTTTGGTCAATTAGAGATTTGAACCTGAATCAACCCACTTTAAACACTATAACTATTATACTACAATATCTGTAATACACAGTATTGTATGGATAAATCCATTGCTATGGGTTATAATAACCTGGGCCGCATTTTGTGGGACGGGGGGGGGGTAGTTTTCCCCTTTTTTGTTAATCTCATCTATCCCCTACTATTTCCTTTCCTGGATAATTTAGATGATCTTATTTTTCCTTTATGTAAACAAGTCTCTTGTTTCTTTGCCCATCTGCATAAGTGATTAATAACAAGAATATTTAGGAAATGGAATGCTGGTTTTATACATCATTATTATCTAATTTGGTTTGCTTGACTTTGCCTAAATAAGTTGTGTGAGCCCATTCATTGCGTTTTGCAAACCATGCTTTATAATGAAATTAAACCAGATAATTCTGGTTTATTCACTATGAATCCCAAGGCTAGGCAGATGTGTGAATCAGATCATACTGTGTATAGTGGCAGTTGAATTCAGTGTCTAAATATGTTTGATCAATGCCCTCCTATTTAAATTAATTTTGCTGACATTTTTGTTTTGTTTTCCTGTTCATGGTTATTAAAGCCATGATTTAAAACAAAAAGATATTTCAAGACCTTAAAGACTTCCTAGTTTCCTTGCCTTAAGAAATGGGATAAGAACTTTATTTGAATGGCTACTTGCTAACATTAGAATATGTTCATCCTTTTTGTGTATGATGATGCTCAAAGCATATGTACCTTGAGTGGATTGTTGTTAGCTCTTTCAGGAAATCAAATGTCTGTGAGCTTTTAACATTTGTTTCTTTATATATATATTTTGAATAGATGGTTGTTACATAATTTAGAAGTTCTGATTATGAAAATGTTCTTTATGTATAATTGCAGATGATTCAAGTAGAGAATTTACCTTAGCACATACGGCTACCCAAACTTTGTTAACAAAGCTCATACCTGATACTGAATATATTGTAACAATAAATTCATATGATACTGTAGACGAAAGTGTACCTGTCACTGGACAACTTACAAGTAAGTTTGCAAAATTGACTAAGATGTTGCTTGGAATATAGTTTCAATACTGCTACAAAGATATATGTACTATATTTTAATTTATCATTTGTCAAATTTATCTTGAGATATGAGATGACACTGAGCAACTTAAATTTGTAATATATGTAGACATTTGACTTCTACCTAAGGTTGGACTTAATTTGTTTTAATTAGCAAATAAATATGCTGAATGTAGATTTCAAAAAATCCATGTGATATTTGTAGCAGTACCAATAGCATTTAGACTTACATACCATTAGGACTGCAATATTTTACAGCACTCTCTGGGCAATTTACCATGTAGCAGCATTATTTGTTATTACACCCAACAACAATCTGGGTCCTCATTTTACCGACCTGCGAAGGATGGAAAACTGAGTCAATCTTGAGCTAGTCAGGATCGAACTCCAGACTGTGGGCAGATTTGTCTGCAATACAGTATTCTAACCACTGCGCTACCAGAGCTCTGTAGTAGTAATACTAATTGTATATAATTTGCAACATCATTCAACATTTTATTTTCCCATTGCCATTTCAGAGATCCGTAAAAAGTAGACAAATGAAAAGCAACCTTTGATACTAAGATTTTCTTTTTAATTGTTATTAAGCTGTGTGTTCTGTTCTAGTTCAAACAGGTGGCTTTGTAACAACAGGAGTAAAGAAGGATGAAGAAATTAATTTGCAAAGTAAGTAATTTTGTAATGTTGCTGCTTCTGGTATATGGCAAAACAAGGCATCTATTTCTAAACGAGCATAACCAGACTGCCTAGAGATACACAAATATGTGTTTTTGCTCTTCACAATGCATTTTTTTCTGCCTGGGGAAAAAGCATTAAAAAAAACAATCCTAGGACCTTTAGATATGCTTTCATTCAATTCCTATAATCCACATTGTTCTGACTGGGAAATCCAGAAGTTAAAGTTCAACAAATATAAAAGAATCACATTGGAAAAGACAGAAAGAGAAGATCCCTCTCCATGTCAGGCAAATTCTAAAATTTATGTGCATCATTCTTTGGTTCGTGCTTGTTCTTGATGGCCCAAGAAGTGAACTTTTCTTGCCCATGCTTTAGGCATTTTCAAGTATATTCATTCCCCTTATTTTATCCTTTGATCTAACTATCTCCAGACTGAACAACAGTGAGACACTTGTTTGGCTCAGGAGTTATGCCAACCATTTTAGATTTGACTCAAAGGGACACTTTTGTCAACAAACAGGGTGGCAACTGATTCTGATTTCAAAAAGTCGTCAAATGTACTTTCTTTACCTTATTCATATAATAAGGGACGAATAAGACAATTGCATATTCTGGGCATGTAGTGGGTGGGTTCCGAAAGCCCGTGAGATGCTGTTATTTTATGGTTGATGTTTTCTGCTTCCATTTTAAGCTTGTACATTAATATATTTTGATATTTATTTTGGTATTGTGTTTTTATGTGATGTTAGCTGCCCAAAGTCATTAGCTACAATGATATTCAGTCCTTTGCACCAAGTGAAAGTAAACAGGAACAGCTTAGAGCATCATGGGAGGTGGTGTAGAATTGGCTGCCAAAGGCAGGGGATATTAATTTCCCTTTTTGTAAGAGTGAACTTTCCATGGATTATTACACTTTTTCCATAAGATCAAATTTGAAACATATGTATATTGCTATCTAGCTGTCTCATGTCTATAGCAGTGGTGGGTTTCAAAATTTTTTTGAGCCTTCTCTGTGGGTGTGGCCTCCTTTGTGGGAGTGGCTTGCTGGCCATGTGTCCTGGTGGGAGTGGCTTGCCGGCCATGTATTTTCTTTCTTTCTCTCTCTCTCCCTCCCTCTCTCTCTCTCTTTCCTTCCTTTTGTCTCTCTGTCCCTTTTTCCTTTTTTTCTTTCATCTCTCTCTCTCACACCTTTTCTTTCTTTTTTTCTTTTTTCTTTTTTTCTTCCTTTCTTTCTCTTTCTGTGTGTGTGTGAGTGTGTGTGTGTGTGTGTGTCAGTGGTGGGTTTCAAAATTTTTTGGAACCTCTCCTGTAGTTGTGGCCTGCTTTCCGGGTCCACTGGTGGAACCTCTTCTAACCAGTTCGGTAGATTTGACGAACCGGTTCTACCGAACTGGTGCGAATTGGTAGGAACCCACCTCTGGTCTATAGCCAGTTTGATGTAATAGTTTAGGCATTGGGAGAAACTGGGAGACTTTGTTTTCTAGTATTGCCTGGATGACTTTGGGCCAGCCACTCTTTCTTAGCCACAGGAAGCAGGCTATTGCAAACTGTTTCCAAAATCTTGCCAAGAAAATGGCAGGGATTAGTTCGAACAGTTACCATGAGTCCACAGTGACTTAAAGGGATGCATGGATACATGCATAAATATCTTCTAGCTATCTGATTCATATGAATGTACCCCCAAATAAATGAAACATTTAAAATATGTGAGTGTATACAGTATGTGAAGGTTAATTAATAACCCTGTTCCATTATGTTTCAGAGTGTTCCATTAGTGCTGTTACAGATCTAGTTTTTCTTGTCGATGGCTCTTGGAGCGTGGGAAGAAATAACTTTAAGTACATATTGGACTTCATTGTTACTCTTGTATCAGCATTTGATATTGGAGAAGATAAGACAAGAGTTGGGATAGTCCAGTACAGCTCTGATACAAGGACTGAATTCAATTTAAATCAGTATTTCAGAAAAAGAGATCTGATTGAGGCAATAAGAAGAATACCATATAAAGGAGGCAATACAATGACAGGTATGGATTTCCCTCTGATCACATAGAAATCCTGAATAGCAATAGCAATAGCAGTTAGACTTATATACCGCTTCATAGGGCTTTCAGCCCCCTCTAAGCGGTTTACAGAGTCAGCATATTGCCCCCATCAACAATCCAGGTCCTCATTTTTACCCACCTCGGAAGGATGGAAGGCTGAGTCAACC